CCGCATTTCAGAATATAATAGTCATATGAACTTATTTATGAGTTTGAATTCCCTTCTGGTATCTTCCGCTTATCTTTATTAAAGTCATGCACGATGTCGACTTTTGTAGAATATACCACTCATATCACTTACATTTTTACACATGAAATTGAAATTTTATCGACAACCTGTGAATCATTTTGTCTTGCCTAACAACAATTTCTAATGCTGCTTAAACAAAGAAATCATTGAAAAAACACATAAAAAATTGTTATCCAATGCTTTGATCAACTGACAAGTACAGGTGCATTTCAGTAAGCAACTATTTTAGAGAATTCAACAAATTGTTAACATTTCACATTGTTTATTTATCAGTTATCAGACATTTAATTTTACAATAATTTTCTTCAGCAGGTGTTTCTAGTGAAAAATTGATAGTTAAAGCAATTCGGAAACGGAGAGAAACCTGTGACCATGTTGTATATGATTCAATTATAGAGCTCTAATAGAATGCATAAAGTTGTCATTGGAAAACAAAATTTATTATACAATTTATTGGTAATGGACAAGTAAGGAATGCCATTCATTAAACTGGAGATTTTTCCAGTAATCAAAAGATATTAAAAACGAGAATAATATCCTCAAAATCTGTCAAAATTGAAATAACAAGCTTAGAACATTAACCTGAAGTAGAGGGAATAACAAATTGGCAGAATGTATAACCAATGATAATGTCCTTGAAAACAGTAACAAGAAAATAGCAACTACTCATTTCCACAGGACATAATTTTAAAAGATAAAGACTTTCAGTCTTTCTGACAACTATATATATATATATATATATACTTAGCTTTTATATCTCGCTGTTTATTTCGTGTTAATGAATTTTTAGTCTGATTTTATGACTTAACTTGATCCTGTACACCTTTACTATCTTACAAAGTGTCTGGTATTTTGTTGTTTCATAATATTAGAAAATTCATGCGTCCGAAGTACTTTTCTGGATTTACCTTCATCAGGAACGCTGTAAGCCGAATATTTGAAAACCAAGGGTGTATAAGAACGCAAACAGATGAAGAGCTTTATAACTAAAAAGGACATAAGAAATAGCAAAATCCATTTAAGGTCAACTTTTCTTGAGGTTATGTGTCCATAAGACACCATGCCCCGCTCACTATATCATTTCTATGCTTGGGAAACCGTAAGATATGGGCCATTATAATGAACATGCATACTAAGGTTCAAGTTGATGTGAACACTTTTTTTTTACTATTATTTGTTTTTACTCAATATTCGTATTTGGTAAACTGATTTTTCTTATTTCTAATATTGCATATCCACTGTTTCGATATCATTGGTCGGTATTGATCAAACTTTGCTGACGTATTTTCAGTTTCAATTAAAATCAAATGGGTATTTTATTTAGTGAAATTGCATTTAAGAAAGATTGATTTTCGGTCAGCCAGAATATAATAATCAAATTTAAAACAAAAATGGGAAAACATGAGATAATCTTCTCAAATGTCAAGTGTGTTTATCGAAAGAAGTAGAAATAAATGAGTTCTGTTCTGAAGTCATCCAAATACAGTTTCCACTTTTCGTTTTATAATTAATTTAAGTAAATACAAAAAGAGATTGTTTTTGACAACATTCACAAAGGAATCGGAAGGCTTGCGTGCCTTGAGATGGTTGCGTGACTTGTTTGATATCAGTGATGTTGATATTCTTTACGCAATGCTAGTAGCTCTGAAATGAGTTTTAATTGAATCAAATTTCTCATTGTGCTGCCATCGTTAAGTTTTAAGCAATAACCAAGACATTTTATGCCGTTGTTAACAATTACATGGTAATTGTAAAGTTTGATGAGAAAGCAAGTCAATAGAAACAATCGTTGCTTATATTTTTATTAATTTAATCTGACACATTAATTTGTTGATAAAACGTTGACAATAGCAACGTGTCCGTTAAAAACTACCAGGATACCAACAAGGGCTTTATAATCCGGAATAATCATAATGAAAAATCTGACATAGATAAAAAAAAAAATTATAACAGACAAAGGCTCACGCATATTTAAACCATGAATATGAGAATGTAAGATAAGGCCACTTCTTTGGCCCCTTGAATTCGAAAATCTGAAAGTATTACAAATCTACTTCAAACGTTCATACGGCACTTGTTTGTTGGACATCCGTATTAACATTTAGGATTTTGCCTTTCATCTTGGCATTAAGGCTTCAAACATTTTTTGCAAACTGACTTAAAAAATTCTGGTCATTAATTTTTAGATATAAGCAAGAGCTTTACCCACAAAGTTATTTTGCTGCAAATGTATTTTTAGATACCCTATTTCTATATTTTTAAAAGACCGTACAACTATTTACTGTAAATGCAGGGTTGTGTGATATGAAGCAGCATAATCAATTGTACTTTATTTGTCCTCATTTTTCGTAATAAAGCTTTGTATAAGTAGACACTGTATATTTTAATTAGCAATTTTCAATTTCTACTCTAAACAATATCATAAATGTACAGTTGTTGCTTCAAACCTTAAAAAGTAAGGCATACTATTCCCTTGATTTTTGTCCGTTTTTGTTAATTAGAAGACAAACACAACACCTTATGAATTTCGTGCGTCCAAAGCTGGATTCAACATCATTTGGAACGCTCAAGCTTAGACATTTGAAAGCCAGGGATGTAAATATTAATACGTAAAAATGTTAGGAGCTATATGACCAAAAAGAATCTAAATAGAATGTTAAAGTACTCACTCGGATTTTGAGATAAAGAATAGCAATAAACAGCGATCTTCAATTGCTTTGTGTTTTGTCAAGTATACAAAATAACACACAATATTTCATTACTAGTATATCAATTTATAGTATAGATTCTGAGTTTTCTTTCAGTTCTGAGGAAGTCATTAACTTTAATAGGTCAATTGAAATGTTTTCAAGTGCTTTCTTTATCTGATTAACTTTCAAATAGCCGATTAAATTTAATCAGATGTATTTTGCAATTCTTTATTGAAACTGTGCATATCCTCTTGTCATGGATAAACAAACAAAAAATTATTAAGTATTTTCAGGCAATACTCTTTATACCATCGCTAAAAGATAACACATGTTAATACAAACAATGGTTCATTTAACACTACCAGAAAACAAGGACTGAGCAACACGAAACCCGCCCAAAGCATAATGTTTGAGTGCTCCGGATGGGTGAGTAGTTCCTATGCCAACAGTAACACCCATCGTGTTTCTATTGAAAAGTGAAATTTAGGGATAAGTTGCAGCTGGTTTGTTTGATCAAACTGTAATCCTCTTTCTATAGCTACACTTTCATTGTTACTATTTCTGTTGGTCCCTAAACCGAATGATCTGGTCTTAACCTCCAACCTTGGGAGAGTTACTAAATCATTATCGCATTCGGGAAACCTATCGTGCACTTAACAGCAATAAGGCATGAACCTTTCATGTAGTTGACGACGACCGACTTTATCTCTAAATGTCAACATAGAACTATAGATACATATTTAACTATAAAAAACAAATAAATCTGACTCAAGCCTGACCTTCACAATGATTGTTAGTTTTTGTTATTATGTCTTTTGTTTTAAATAAATCTAATGTCATATGCAATATGTTTGTTTATTTGTTTATTTGTTTATGGTTTTTTTAAATGAATGTTTGAAATAAATTATAAAAAATTGACATCCATCCATTTGTCTATCTTTTTATCGATTTTCCTTATCTGATTTTTTTCTACCAAATAGTTTTCTCACCTTGATTATTTTAATTGCGTAATGTGTGCCGTTCTAACTCAATGTTGACGTTTTATTTTGTATTGTATGTTGAATGAATTCACAACTTGTCTAAACTGCTCTTTGACTTCTAATTTAATTTACTTAATATCCCCTTTTGTTTTATAGAATTTCTTCTATTTAAATACAGAAAGTTTGACATGGCCAAAAATAACAAAAAACGAAAACATGAAAAAGCAAACAACAGTAAAAAACATTACACAGAACAACTAAAGATCGAGATTATTTAGATGATTGCAGCTGCCTAATTGTGAACTTTCAATTTCTATGTAGCAACATTCCAGCAGTGCCTGCATATGGAATATAGATTTCCAAGTTGATACGATATTCCAGGGATTGCATTTCCTATCATGATTTCCTTGATGGAGGGTTGCTGTCACAAGGTAGCTTTTAAACCAAGAGTTCCAATTTGGGAAGTTGAAATCATCCCTTGTAGACTTTACGGACGTCATCACGAAATTGTTGACCGTTACTGAATATCTGTTACACAAATAACGACGGATATGTTGCTATTTTCGTAACCAAAATCCCTTCCCCTTTTCCCCGAATGTGTCCTACTGAATTAGACGTATCACCGGACTTGTATTGGCATGAGCAACAAGATGTGGGCCACATGTAGAGCAGGATCTGCTTTCCCTTTCGGAGCACCAGAGATCACCCCATGTTTTGGTGATGTTGCTATGTCTTTAGTTTTCTATTTTGTACTATGTGTACTGTTGTATTCTTTTGGTGTTTTCCTTTGTTTGCCATGACGTTGTTAGTTTATTTTCGATTTATGAGTTTGAATGTCATTTTTGGTATTTTTCGCCTTGACAGAAACCATTATGGTTTAGATGACTATTATTAAATATCTGTGTCACAGTTCACCAGGGATATGTTCCACGTGTAGTAACCGCAATTTCGTTTTCTTTTTTTTCAGCTGCGAAATTTTCACCAGATGTGTAATTGCATAAACAGCCAGATGGGTGCAACATGCGAAGTAGGATCTGCTCACTTTTTATAGACAACTCAATTCACCCTTTGTTTTTGGTGGGGTTTTTGTTGCTCATTCTTTAGTCTTTCGTTGTAATGTTTTTATTGTTGTTTGTCTTTTCGTTTTTTTTGTTTTTTTTAATTTTGACCATAATGATGTCTGTTTTATTGGACTTGCCAACTTGTTATCTTCTCTTTCTTTATACATATAATGGTGTAACAACTCTGCTAAATTGTTTTACTGTCTTTATTAACAAGAAATTAAACTCCAAACAATATTTGTTTATTTGCAACAGTTCTATCATCACAGAATTAAAATAATCTATCACAATGTAACCAAAAATATCTTCATGGTATTTACATGGAAGACTATCAGATTAAGTGGGTCATTCTTTCTGAATACGATTTCTGGATAATTAATGTATTACCAGCAGTCTACCTTTATCTTAATATAGATATATATTAATTCAGCTATTATGTCATAAAAGATTTTTTTTGGCGCCAAAAAACTGAATTAAACCACGTTTCTATGAGAAATGCCCGTATGTGTCAAAATCTTATTATTCTTTCGTTACTTAAATCTCCATAGAAAGAATATTAGAACTTCGAAAAAAATTATTACCATAATTCTTACTGAGACATAGTTTTATTTAAATATGCTAGTTATACATTAATATCAATTTTTTCTGATAATCTTCCTTGTAAAGCAAGAAATACGTACATAACATTGTGACCATAAATGTTTGGCCAACATAGAATTAACGATAGATACCATTAATTACTTGTTCTCTGGAATTATCTGTTGGAGTTTCTGATTGATCAAAATTAACATAGAAAAATGAAAGTTTTAGTGAATTTTCAAAATTATGTTTAACCAACTGTTTCTTTTTTATCACCGGATATATAACACACGCAAATGCAGTTTATGCCATGGTATTTCCCCTTCTATTGTCCGGATAAATGACTACGCATTGCTATCACAAAAAAAATTGGTTTAGTTGTCTTTTGAAAACAATTATAAAAAGAAAAAACTAAACAATCAATGTTCAAAAGATTTGAGAATAGAATAGGTTTATGTCCTAAAACGGAAGAATTTTTTGATGAGCTTTACATGTTCTTTTCTTAAAATCTTTAAAATATGCCTCGTTGTGAATGACCCAATTAAGATATCCATCTGCCGTTTCACAGTTTTAACTTCTCGAAAATAGTACTTCGATCAAACAGAAACATCCGAAAAGATAATGTTCCCTCAATGCAACATCATTTCTAAATTGGTCCATTCTAATTTAAATATAGCCATCAATATTTTTTTATACCGACAGTCAAATATCAAACTTATCTGCTTCACCTTAAAATTGTAATCAGTTCTGCCAAGATAAAACTCCTTATTTGTATGGCCAATCAAACCTATGAGAAAGACATAGATGCATCACCATAAAAAATTTCCAAAAATATTTTTATACATTTCCAAACATTTTGATACAGGTTGAAATGGCATTTAATAGATTTTTAACAACTAGAGTGCATCTGTTCATAAACTTGTAATCAAATTGTTAACAATTGAATGAACAAAGAGACGTGTCTGAAACATTTTGCATATATTAAAACTACCAGTGCTTAATTATTTATGAACAAGTTTTATAAAACTGTCCAAGTTAGTCAAAATTTATAATTTTGACATCGATCCAGTTTATAAGGATAGATAGGGCTTCTGCAAATGTCACCATATATATACACAGACAAGGCTATACTATTATTTTAAATGGATATTACCATAAAATAAAGTTATGGTCTTGTGTGTTATATATCATCAGAATCCCTTTATATATATTTTTTAAGAAACAACAAGTTTATGTGTTTCTTTTTATCGGATTTCGCGATTTATTTCATCTTCGCGGTATTTTCATGCTTTAAGAGTTTCATGAAGTCTCTTGACCTTGAATAACTTATTGTGATTCTCCTCATCACTGACTTGATTGTCGTATGGTGCCGTCTTTGTACCATGAAGGATGAGAGTCCATTCAAAGAAAGATCCAGTGTCTACGGCGTTGTTCTTACCCTCAGCCAGAGTTATTTGAAGCTTCCAACGTCCACGTGCATTTTCAGCCCAAGTGTGTGTTGTCATGAAAGGCCATCTAGTGAAACCATTCTTATGGTCGTCGTCATTTGGACGTTGGCTTAGGATCATGGAGCTAAAAATAACAATAATATGTAAAGATATCTGCAATAAAATGTCAACGACTGTATGGAGAATCTAGTTTCATTTGAAAAAGTTGAACAATGATTGTCGATAATACTTAGTCAGATTCTTGATCAGAGGTTTTTTATAAATATTATCATCATTGCTGTTTTCTGAGTGATTATTTGGTTGTCTGATTAAAAATGAATGAAAATTAGATTATCAATTTGTTTTGGAGTTTTTTTTTAACTACTGGATAAAGTTCACACATTATAGAAATAAGAAGATGTGGTATGATTGCCAATGAGAAAATTCTCCACCAGAACCAAACTACAGGTCACCGTGCGACTTTCAACAATGGACAAATCCCATACCGCATAGCGAGCTCTAAAAGGCCCCAAAATGACAAATGTCAAACAATTCAAACGAGAAAAATTAAGGGCCTGATGTATGTACAAAACAATAAACGAAAAACAAATATGATTTACAGCAACAAACGACAACCACTGAATTCCAGGCTACAGACTTAGGACAGGCATATATAGAATGTGGCAGGGTAAAACATGTTTACGGGCGCGACAACACTCCTCTTAACATGGGACAGTGGTGTAACACCCCAGCATAAGAACTAATCATACAAATCAGTTCAAAAGGGCTAAGATCAAAATATCAATCAGTACACATTCAACTTCCAATGAATTTAGTGTAAATACGTCATTAACAGTCAGAGAAAAGGATGCCCTTGTCTTATGCCATAATATAGGTATCGACCGATTGTAGGATTGTATTTCATAAAGAAAACCTTAACCAATATTATAAAAATAAATTTCAAAAATTAGTAGCTGTCCCCACTTAGAGCCTCTTTTTTCTTTAACTGAAATGCGGGTTGAATTGTATTTGCGGATATCCAATTCTGCAGGATTTAAAGACGTTAACATATTTAATGGCTTGGTGATGTATGTAATGCATTTAAGTTCAACTTGCTTCCTCCTAGACATTCTAATGTTACTTGTGTTAGATCCGGACTTTATTCATAAGAAACATCCTGTTATTTTATACTTCTTGGGTTACATGAAAGAAAACAATATATCAAAATGAAATCCGTTGGTAGTATCATTTAATAAAATCATATCGTACCAGACGAAAAGTATATTTGAATAAGTAAGAAGATTTTCATAGAAATCAACAATTTCAAAGAAGTGCGAGTAGGAGGGCGTTTGTTGAAAGAATTTGTCTCAAGATTTAAAGTTTTTCTTTACGTGGGATTAGAAATAGGCCTGTACTTTTGTACTTACTGAATATTATTCTAAAACGTCATTTGATAGGATAAAGTTTCTTATAATCAGGTTAATTATCTATACTAGATGATGGAAACAAGTTGTGCCAATTGAAATAAGGTTTATGAGATTTATTTTAATCACTGTTACTTCTAATGGTTTTTACGTTCGGAATAGTATAATTAGTTCAAACGTAATCTTTCTAGCTGGTGTTGCATCTAAACATAATAATTGGATATGGAATTAGAAAGGTTGTGTTATCTCTTTTTGGAAATTTATGGGTCGCCCATACTGCTTAAGCCTTTTATGAACCCAACCTCTCATTTGGCTGTAGAATTTCGCTTTTCAAACTTTGTCTTTAAATTATATAAAGACGGTTATTTCAGAAACTTTGGTTAAGCAATTATAAACATCATGTGTTTTTCCTTGTAAAGTTTGACTTACGTGGTATTCATTGGAGAAGTTATAAACATAACAATGTTGCCTCTATATGTAGACTTGAGAGTGACGAATGCCTGAACATGCTCCAAGTAGTTGACTTCATTAGATTTACCAGAACAAGCATCTGTATCTATGTGCATCTGTATAGGTTGGTTTGTACCAAATTCCCTAAAATTTTAAAATAATACTCATTACTTATTTGTACATTACCATAACTACATACAAGAAACGATACTAGAAAGTAAGGAACTATAAATAAAGAATTATCCATTCAATATGTTCAAACTATGAATTTCTATCCTTTCTTATATGGGATGTACATTGTACATGTATATCACAAACAACCAATTAGAAATGATGATAAAGAAACTATCACAGAAATGTATGATTTACTGGTAACAATTGTGAAAATTTTAAATAGAAAAAAATGAAATATTTACATTTTCTCTGTAACGCTACCAGCAGTACAATGAAATCTTTCTGGAAGTGGCTTCCATTTTCTTGATAAATCTACCATTGCACCTGCATCCATAACACCATAACCGAAAAGATGGTTGAACTGCAAACCTGCTCCATTAAACTTCCAATGATGTTTCAAGTACGGGTCAAACAGTCGATTTCTCTTGGATGTGAGCACAGTTATATGTTGAACATCTCTCCATGTTAATTCCCGGCTGAAATTAAAAGACAGAAAGATTAGACGAAGAACAGAAAATAGATAAATTAACAAAATAATAAAAATAACAGTAAAAGATCCACCAGAAGGACTGCTTTGACGTTTCTAGCTTCGAATTTCAAGACAACATTGTTCTGCTTTGCAAGCATGTAATGTCACGTGAGTCTAAATGATGAACAGTATCGGTCACGCCTATATATCTAAGATTAATTGGTGTGATATATGACTGAAATTACCATATTTTTGTATAAGTCAACCAGGATAACATGAAACTTTCACGTATTTCATCTAAAAACACGACTTTATTATGTTTCAGCAGAGTTCCTACAAATAAAAGCTGGTGTAAGGAGCAAATTTTACTCCAAAAAAAAAAACAACTAGTAAACCAATTTTGATCCGAAACGGTCGTTTTGATCTGAACAGCTATTAAAAGACTGACCAATATATTATAAAGCCATTTTCAATCAGTTCAGTCAATTTCCATACACTGCGGTAAATTCAGTACTGTTCAGACAATTCTCTTGCAGAAAATTAAAATCTGTTCAGTTTATGATCAGATTGTTCAGTAGTTGCTATTTATACATTAAAATCATACTGAATTGTCTGTAAAGCTACTGAACAGAAATGAATTGACTGCGAGCGAAATGTCTGAACAGAACTGAATTTACCGCAGTGGATAAGTCGTAAAATTGACTAAAAAACTGAACATACACTTAATAATTTATTGTTTAGAACTTTCAGATGATGTTAAGATCAAAATTACTGTTTCAGACTAAAACTTATTTGATTGTGGAATTTTCTAATTTCCATAAAATGGCTCATAACTCTGTTATATATCGTAGTCTTGATAAGCCGCTAAATGAGATGCTTGCATTTTGTGTATTGCTGCTTAAACAATTATTTTAGAAGAAATAAAGCGATATCTTTTGTCAAATGTCATTTCATGAAGATATCCGATGTTCCTGGAATTTAGATAACAAACAAGATACAATCAAAAGTGTCATCACTTAGTTAAAACATCTCCTTATCGTTATATTGATTCGTACTTAGTAAAATTAGTGACCTGACAGCACTATTTCTTTCAAACTTACTAATAAGAAGGACAAAAAAGCACAACCATATTACCCCCCTCAAAAAAAAAAGAATTAACACAAGCTATTTGCAAAATTCAGGAGTAGACATAGCTATTTGTTAATATAGACTGTGCTGTGGAAAATGGAAGACAACCTCCCTTTAAATATAATTGCTAAAAAAATAATTAAATATTTGAAATTTGTTTAAAGATTTATTGAATGTCAGTAAATATCGATCAATAAATATGGAAGCAAATACAGTAAGGTGTTTAATTGGTTATAAAATTGAAAATTGTTGCAAATAATGAAGTTAACATTCATTGATTATTAACTCTAATGAACAATTCATCTAACGATTATAGAAACAGGAGCTTAATTTGTCCTTGGAGATTTTCCAATACGCCTACAACAAACAGATAATGTAAACAGATGGGAATAGAAATTGTATCTAGCATACGGCGTTGTCGTCTGATCATGCTGGTTATTTGTTTTTGGAAACAAACATTGTTTTTGTATATTATTTAAATTAATTGGAAGCATTCCAAATGTGGTAGTATTTCCAAAGGCTATAATCAACGAGAGTGTCAGAAAAGGATAAAGTCGAACAAAACAGAAAAGGAAACCCAACCAAAAACCAAATTACACCAAAAGGTTTGGCAACTATAACTGTTAAGTCATTAAGGAGAAAATAGAACGACTTGTACAGACAATTGCGACGACTATCAGTACAATTTTTTTTAAAGAGTACTCAAAAGGTATTAACCAGAGGCTCCGAAAAGATGACATAATACAGACTACCATGGAACAAACAATGAAGAAAACATTGTCATTCATAAAACAATTGCTGATGAACGAAGCTGCTCTCAAGGACAAATGCATACAACTGGGAGTTAAAGTCAAATGATTACATTCTTTAGTGTGACGTGTAAGTCTCATTTTATGACAAACTTAGTATTATTCATGTTATACTGACAATTTAATCCTAATGTACGTTTTAAGATCGACCATAGAGCTTAATTTTCCAAAACTAGCGTGGAATGACAAATTTATTTTCATTATCACGTGGTAAATTTAGCAAAAACTGTCAATTGCAAAATCCAAATCGTGTTAGTGTGTAAAACAATACAAGATTATCAGCATTTTAAGATTTCAAGTACCAGACAAATGACTAAATTCAAACGTTTGCAATAAAATGATTGTTAAAGATATCGATCATAAATGACAGGAATGTTAATGATATATTTAAAAAAAACCTGATATAATTGGTTCACATTTCACTTTATCTTCTAAAAACTATCAATCAGCAAATCTACGTCATCAAGATCTCTGATTTAATTACATATGAAAAAATATCAATAAACTTTTCAGGTGTCAAACAACACGTAATGACAGTGATAATTCATTATTCTTCTGTCTTTACTATCAGTACGTAATATCCGCCATCATGTTTATTCTCCGTGAAAAATTGTATTAATCACCAGAAACGCTTGGTAGCAGAAATAATTGTCTCTGATGTCCCATAGATCACAAACCAATATCCTTAATACAAATGACGCCTGCCAATTTACGACAACTAATTGTTATAAATATCAACGGTATTCTAAAAATATCATACTGTATAGAATTGGTCTTTTTTAACGACTAACTTCAGCAATGAAGACATTGGTTCACTGTATCGGATAATGTTATACGGAAGTCCTGCTACAATTATTTACTTACTGCAACGTAAGACTTTTTTTAATACACACTCTATTCAAATAACAGCAGATGAGCATTTAATTGTTTAATAATAATGGAAAAATCTTTCATGTATGTAATAATATTTTTCAAATTTATATAATTAAAAAAACTCATCAAAGATACCAGGCTTATAATTTGGTTAAATGTATAATGGCTTACTTTGCTTCAATAGCTAAGGCATAAACACCTGCTGCTTCCGGTGCAGCAGCAGAAGTTCCGGAATGCGTCGTGGTACAATTGTTGTACAGGTCTGTTGTAGCCTGTGGAGAAATATTCATAACTCATTATTAGAAAAACAGCAATATATCGGCATAAAAAAACGAGGAAAATTATTTCCAGCATCAACAAAGATAGAAATCCCTATAACCATAAAAACAGTTGTCTAAGATAAAAAAAAAATTAAAATCATTTTGTCTATTTGTCAACCATGCATTAATTAATGATAATTATATGTCACATTGACTGAAAATATCATTACCAGTGAAACATATTATTATTTACTATAGTTTAATAACAGGAATATATGTCTTACCACACCAGCGTCTCTCAGTGTGCTTTTACCGTTGCTGAAGGTTGATGCTAGAGTGGATGAGCATGATTCGTCATATCCGGCCGTTTGACCATCATTAGTTGCAGAGTTAATAGAAACAGTCCACATACTGGCAGCATAACCGTCACAATTACAATCATCATCTGCTCCTCCATCACCAGAAGCCCAGACATATATATTACCTTTGCCATGTCGCCCCTATGATATCAAAAGTTATACTATCAGTCACAATGATTGTAACGGCATAGTCTTTAAACAAAAATAATCGGAGAGTTTTTTTTTTAATTTATACTGATTTAAGGTGTTTATGACATAATAGAATTAACATTTGCTATGAATATAAGAAACTATCTGATCGTATGGTTGCCTGTAATTGCTTATATCCACTTCATTTGAACTGTTGTGGATAGTTGTGTCATTGGTAATCATACCACATCTCCTCATTTTGATAAATAAGATGAATGAATAATACGAAACTGAAAATCATAGCGAAATGTGACCAAAATATGAGCATGGGAAATGAAAAGTGATAAAAAAGATTTTGTTTTTAAAAACAAAAAAGCAGGACTTATTATCAATCACAATGGTACATCTTAAAATAGAAAGAGATCTGCACATTACTGTACCCCCAAAAAAAATTTAAAAAAAAGAAAAAAAGTTTATGAAACATAATGAAAGATATTATGAGCGGGCTTGTAAACAATCTGTCGCGTTACTCATATACTACAAGTTAACCTGACAACGCACCAGGGCCTCGCCCCCTTTTGGTGTTAATGCGATTCCATCTCTTCATTGGTATAAACAATGGATTTAGTTTAGAAAATCGATAGAAACTACCAATGTCTCATATTTTTGCCTTTTAGAAAAAAGAAAGTTTGCTATCAGTAACGGATACTGTCTCTTTGAAGTAGATGAAATCTTCTTAAGAAACTAAAAATCTTAGCATCAAAGACACAAACACTATTATGTCATACTACCAGATGAAATGAATCGGTAATCAAAGGTTTGGTATTGCATACTATAATAGATAATTTAAGATAAGAAGCATATCAAACCACTACACATGATACGATCAAATGATCGCTTATATGTCAGGCCACGTAATGAGCAAAGGTAGATATTACGGATACATAAGGAATTAGATATCAAAGTTAAACATGTTAATATGCTTGAAGGAAATATCGTATATGCAGTACAGAGAGTTGCTGAACAGTATTAATACTGATAACTTGATTCAATGTTATCAACTAGTTGCATTAAGATCATAAATTACACATATGTACTTTTAAACAGCAGAAAATTCGAAAAACTTAAACTTGAATCTTCCACATAAGGGAAACATGTCCCCTATCATCTAGGAGACATTCAATGCATATCATCTTAGTGATGGCTGCAATAAATCTTCCATAGAGATATGCACACGCAGAAATGAATATTACTTTAACAGTAAAAACCATGATTGACTAGAAAATTCATACCAAATGAACGAGACAAGAAAAAGGCCTTAATAGTTACAAGGTCATCTATGCCTGGCAAAATTTTAACTATATATTTCCATTGACTTTCTTAGTTTGAATAGTTTCATTGCAGAATCACTTACTAAAGGACAAATGGTAACATCATGGACACATTTTCCGACTACTGAAAACCAACTGGTATTACTAAGCAACGTTGATAAAAACGTATGGTGTATACATGTTGCTATTTTCAATTTATTTTGAATATTAACATACCTCGTTTACGCCTTTGACAATAGCTCTCATCGTCATGTTTCTTGGCCCATCCACAGTCTTGCCATCATCTGTTGGTCCCCAACTGGCGCTGTATATATCTATGTCATTTGGCATGTGACTCATAGCATTAGCTTCAATAAGATCTGTCATGAAAGGCTGATCTAGCATTCGCAGACCTAAAATGATTAGTTTGGTACTATGAAGACAAGAATTTATATATTTTTTTTTTGAACTAATCAACATGATTAAGAAAAGTAGCACTAGCGAGACTTTGATTAAGACACAACTAGTATTGATTATTCCTAATTTTAACTGCACTTCATCTTAAACAGTCACAATCCCTGATTTACAAGAGGCACATTTGAATCAAACGCTTTTTTAAATACACGACCATCAATTTTAAAACGCGAAACTAGAAGACAAAAACGAAAAAATCAAAATACTGGGAAAGTTTTGTTTCCCGCAATGGTGTACTGACTTGGTATACTTGTATTGCTGATATTCAATGGAGCAACTTACATTAAATTATGAAAAAGGCCTTGATCCTTCTTTTGCTGACTAAAGTTTGGGATTTGTACTACCTAGTGAAGGTTAATCCGGAAACTGAGCACAAAACTAAGCCAGAACAGTACATCAGCTTTTGTTTATAAAAATAAGAAGATGTGGTATGATTGCCAATGAGACAACTCTCTACCAGAGACCAAATGACATTGAAGTTAACAACTATAGGTCACCGTACGGCCTTGTTTGATTGTTTGTTTGTTTGTTTTATTTTTTTATCATGAAGTAATTGAAATAATGATGTTCAATTATAGATTTAATAAAAATGTCTTTTCTACAAAATTTGCTGTCCTAATAAAACACTTACCAGCAACTTTGGAATTATAAGCAACACCAACACCGCAGACATTGTTATCACGTGCAGCTGCTACTTCACCTGCGCAACGTGTACCATGGCTGAAATATTTCAATTTAAAAAATGCTTATTTTATTCTTAATGTTCAATCTTCTTTTAAGTTTCGTTAGTATTTTTATATGAATTAAATTATTCATTTATATTTGTGATAGATGGATATATATATATATATATATAAATTTTCAGGACATCTGTTTGCAGTCGAATATATTACTTCGAAGAAACAGGAATTTTGAGATCATTGAACTGTTTTTACATTTTAATTACAAATATAACAGATCCGAAAATATTACTTTGGATTACAAATAATATGAAAATGTAACTAAATTGTCTTTGCAGGGGTTCCAACACTGACAAATTTAAAAGGACCCAGAGGAGATAAACGTTTCTTTCAGTAGAAAATGAAGAATTTATGAATTGTAAAATTTCAAGCACAAAGAATAACATGAATATTTTAGTTCTTAAGCACTAGCAATATTGGTGTTTATTTAAATCATTGAACCCATCTAGAGTGAAAATGTATATCAGTCATATGCATTTACATGTGGAATTGAAGTTTCTATTGCAGAATTTCATATTTCTTCTATTAAGAAATGAATAATTAGGATTTATAAGAAATTGATTTTATGCCAGACGATATCATTAATCAAATATTATAAGTTTTAATCTCGTCATTTCATATTCCCATGTTATCTAATGAAAATATCATAATTTGTCCTCGTGTTGTGTAAAAGTTACAGATTTTGGACAAGTACATTAATCAGTAGAAATGTTTAAGTGGTAACCTATTTTTATGGATTAAATCAATTAATATTTATTATTTCATAAGACACAGCAATTTTTAGCGCAAAGCATTTAATTCGATTTTCAAAACCTTTTCAAACAAGAACGAAAGTTAATTGTTTTTCCAGGTTAATTGCCTTTCCCAGGTTAATAGCAGGATTATTAGTTTAAATTGGTCCATATTGCTATTTTTCATATTCACTGCACTAGAATTAAATGTGATTAATGCAACCTAAATGATATTCCTCAAAATGATTATATAATAGCACTACAATCTGTATCAATACTAAAATGCATTAGTTCAATTGATTTAGAAGGCACACGGATTATTTCTGCGGGTATTGATAGAATAGTAATGTCAATCATGAACATGAACTTTAAAACATTCTAAAACAGTAGTGCAATCCGGGAGAGCAAATCGAGAAAAATTGATATATTTTTCATCTAAATCATTCTAATTAGAACAATCCTCAGAGTCTAATATGTTCTAAAAATATTTAAAGATCACTAGTTAGTAAATTTGCCGTTCTAATCTATTTTGTCTGATCCGCATAACAATATATCCTGAGAAATAGAATTTATTGGGAATAACAAAACAAAGCCTAGTATTAACTTCCTGTTTGTGAGATTGTCTTATAAAGATAATGGATTCTTTTACAGAAATCTCCTACGGAGAGGACATGAAAGTTTATGATCGATGTCATGTTAAAAGGAATTAAACATGGCTTTGCTTTCCGGAATGATTGATACTCAATGAAATTACTGAATGAGAATGTAAAAAAAACATAATGATATTTGTTCATATTAGGGAAATGAATTCTGTAGAAATAAAAATGTCCTTTTTCATTTGAATGATATTCAGTTTCATATGGGGAAATTAATAATTACATGTAAAGGTTATATTTTAATATCTGTTTTACAGTGATGTCCATACTTTTAAAACCACATTGCCCTGACTGAGTTTTTTTTCCTCCGAAAAATATTGAATATCAAAAAAAAAAATATTTGAACTCGAGAGTCCACAAACATGACATGTCATCATATGTAACTTCATTTGTTGTTAGAATAAGACAGTCGCGTGTAAAAATGAAAAGAGGATTATTGTCAAAATAAAGTTAATGAAAACATTTCCAATCTGAACAACTACAGCGCAAAATCACTCTTGTCTCATACATGGTGTGAATGAATGTACCATAAAAACTTTTGCTTGAAGAATCCATTCCCGTACTTACCTATTAAACCATGTGTCTGTATAACGTGGATATGGGTAAGGGTCGTTACTGCTAAAATCATAACTTGCTTTTGCATTCTGTGGTAAAAACAAAATCAAAAAGATAGTAATTTAACACAGGCACTTGTCTCTGAAAAAAAATTACCCAAATACTTTAATATACCACAAGGTACCTAACTCGTATATTTGAGAAATGTCCCCCGGTCGCTAACTTCTTACGAATAATTCCGACAATATAAATTGGCGTGCTATATACCATTTTGTAGTAATTTAACCAAAAATACATTGTATTATAGAAAACCAGTCATTCTCAATTTTATTCTCTTATGACTGCAAGCATCTTCATACTTTGAAAATGAATGATATAGAGTTTATATATAATTTTACTATTTAGACAAAATATCAGAAATAATTTACAGCAGGATCAGGATAAGGATCTGCTTACCCTTCCAGAGCACCTGAGATCACCCCCAGTTTTTGATGGAGTTCGTGTTGCTCAGTGTTTAGTTTTCTGTGTTGTGTTTTGAGTACTGTTGTTTGTCTTTTTCTTTTTTAGCCATGACGTTTTCAGTTTATTTTCGACATATGAGTTTGAATGTCCCTTTGGTATCTTTCGCCTCTCTTTTACAGTAAACGATTCTTATAATTCTTTTTATTTTACAAGCAATATTGGTTTTAGTACGATTTTATCAAATATGTGTCCATCTTGTTACTAATGTCTGTGACATTATAAAAAACAAAATCAATTTACAGATATAACAATTGTAATGTCAACGTTTAGAAAAGGCAATAATTTTCTGACGTATTGAAGGCTGATAACCTTGCTATTGTTGTCATATGGCTAATTCTCATACTCTCACAAAAATTTTTTTGCTCAGTGTTTCGGGAATAAACTACACAACTTCGGAATATTTCAGTCAAAAGTCTATTACCGAAATAATTATTTCGCCTTTACAATAATGTCTGTAGGGAGAATTATTATTCATTTTGCGTAATATAATCTATCCTCTATTGATGCCGGCAATCTTCAACATACAATCGTTGAAGCTGACATCTAAAGATATCAATTTTCTTCATAAGAGCAATCAATAGAAAACTAAGTGGGAGGACAAATTACCCTCTATTACTCCCAAGCATACTTACATAGTTATTCTTCAAATCTTCATGTAAATAATCTATACCTGAAACAATCAATTCAATCTAAACTTAATTATTGTAGAACAAAAATAGAGTAAATTGTTTACATCAATAAAAGAGATACATTTCTAAATGTGAAATGAATTCTACATCCTAAATTTAGCATTACTGCACTATATCAGAGCAAATGTAATGGAAATCTATGCCCGTATTATTAAAATAACAGTTTGGAATGTGTTATACAATATAATATAGAGACAACCAAGGCAGTTACAAATATATAGATTTTTTGAATAACTAAGCGTAAAAAATATTAGATTTCATTGTGAATTCACGATCCTTTGTTTTCTATTCAATGTGATACAGTACATATGATTTATATAAGCACGCAAATATGGTCTCCAACGTCCAAGGTGGTCACTGAGATCATTAAAAGATTTTCCTCAGATCGAAAATGACATCAACTATAACTATAATCAGCCACATTCATTAAAAATTATGAATTTCGTTGGTTTATTTTTACCAAATATAATAAAAACAGAATATGACTTATATCAAATTGTTCATGTTACACCATTTATATATCATATTTCTCATATCATATTCCATTTTGAAGCCAAACGCAGACCATTAAATGATAGACGAAAGCACCATATACCAGTTCTTACCATATTGTAAACAATCAATATCTCTCATGATAAAGGAAAAATGAGATCAATAAGGAATTAATCATACAGTAATTAAAAAGTTCCATAATGTAATGAAATTACGTTTGTCCATATTAGGTATACAAGACTGACTCCAAATAAAATAATTACTGCGGGATAAAAGTTCCGATTTTAATCTAAAAATCATTGTATTGACGACACAAGCATAAAGAAAACGGACACAGATTTTCTATACTGATTTTGTGTTAAAGCCAAAATTAAATCGTCGTTTTAGTTGCTTACAATCAACGTATGTCATCACATGTTCGTTACTTAGGTTTTAACGCCCATCGTAAATGAAAACAAATTCAATTTCCATTGTACCAAACATGATTATGGAATAAAAGCTATTATTTAATTCCTATTCATTTTAAATTTGAAACATGCACCATTTAACAAGATGAACGTAGATTGTACACGATTGATTGATTATTGGTGTTTTACTCCCTCAACACCAGAAAGGACTGTTTAGAATGAAAAACAATGTATTTATTGTTTATGTATTTACATTGTGTCATAGATCAAATTTATTCGTTCAGTGTATGTTCACTTGTGTTAATATGTCTTTTGATTGAGTTAAGCCATTTCAATTGATATTTTATAGTGTGTCTTTCTATGTTGTGATGTTACACTATTGTTTCAGATAAGGGTGAAGGTTTTGTACAATTAAAACGTTTAAACCCGCTGCAATTGTTTGCACCTGTCCTAAGTCAGGAATCTGATGTTCAGTAGTTGTTGTTTGTTGATGTTGTTCATAAGTGTTTCTCGTTTCTCGTTTTTTATATAGATTAGACCGTTGGTTTTCCCGTTTGAATGGTTTTATACTGGTAATTTTGGGGGCCCCTTTATAGCTTGCTGTGCGGTGTGAGCCAAAGCTCCGTGTTGAAGACCGTACCTATAATGGTTTACTTTTATAAATTGTGACTTGGATAGAGAGTTGTCTCATTGGCACTCATACCACATCTTCTTATATTTAAGTTAACCTAAGGAATGCAACTGCCCTAGATAAGCGTCCGCTTATTGAAAAAAATGCATTGTGTGTTAATTATAGACCCTCCTAACACGAGGCCACCACTTATGTCCCTTCCTAGAGATTGTTTGCTTATTTGGTGCATCTCGCAAAATCAAAGACGCTTCTTGCGGGAAACAGAGTTCTATTTCTAAACATTGGGCTTCCCTCGCGGAAGACGTAGCTCGTAAAAATCAACATGGCCTTATTCATTGCAGCATCCCATTGGATATAAATGTCTGTATAGTAAAATAAATAGAAAGTTGAAGATGTTTAAATCCAAATCCAAATACAAATCCAAAGGCCAATCAAAACCAAGAAACACATATTCAGACAACAGAAACGAACAACAAACACTTAATCAAATTCTTTGGACAATACGAAATCCCGTAAGAAAACGATGAGCGATGATGTGCTATGGGCTAAAAAGTGCGGGAACTATTCTTGCCTCGGTATCTCAAATCTAAACTGTTGAATCATCTAACTCTAGTGTTTATCTGTGCCCTCAATGTGTATTCTTTGAATAATTTTCGCAATTTATTAATTCATTAAGTCTTTTCACACAATTTTACAATACATTTGAGTTCTTAAATAATTCATAAATTCATTTAATCAATTGGTTGATTTATTCATTAGCGTTTTTGAAGGTTTTCACAGGGTAATGACACTGTAAAATTTAATGGTAATGCAAATTATAATAGAATCAATACATTATTTAATTGACATTCATTTTGTCATAAACGTAACTTTACAAAATGATTATGGGCTCATATTTTTTTATTACTCTAATAGAATAAAACATTAACCAAAGTTTCTATTTTGTAACGAAGCTGTAATTAATGTTTAATTGTGGTAAAATCACGTCTTTATTGTTTGTGTCTTCATACTAAAGTCACATGTAATAAGTTTCATAAACCTTTTTGATGTGGCTTATGAATTTTGTCATATTACAAAGGCAAAGCTAAATTCAATATGACAGAAATTAAATGGTGCAAATGTTAATGTCAGCTTAAGGATGAAATATTTCTCTGAATACGTCAACAGAATTGATGATGAAAATTATCAATAATAAGTTAAAACCCACCAATACACGTTGAGGACAAAAACCAACCAATACACGTTAAATACGAATCACAAAACCTTATTATGGCAAAGTGCTTTAATTTTGTATCAGTACTCGACGACGATGCGGCAAGATTCTCACCTGTTTATTTCCAAAATCAAATGCTTTCTTTGATTCTTAACTAATACTGAAAGAACATCTATGTTCACGCCTTTTTCTGCAGCATATGTCGTTTTTATTCAAGGCATCATTTGAAACAAGCGAGTGGTAAATCTTTATGACATAAGATGATTAAATGTATATCGGTTTTGTCATCTAATATTTATAATCAAATGCAACAAGAAATTGCACGCGATATCGTGCAAAGTATACCCCCCACTCGTTTATAAATAAGACGTTGCCGGAAAATTCCATGCTTAGTGTGTATTATAAAGTATTGTTAAATAGGAAGGCCGAATAAAATGTATAACGAAAGTTGTGGACGGATATGCAAGCCGTTCTCGTCAAAACTATGTTTAAACCATTTTTTCGAAAAATTTACACACTGAGAATTGAACAAAAAAAACACACTGAGATTAAAAAGCCTAAAAACACACTGATAATTAAAAATTACACACTGAGATTTCATAAAGACGCACTGATATTACAAAAAATGAAAAACACACACTGAGAATTGAAAATTACGCACTGAGATTTCAAAAAGACTCACTGAGATGAAATAAACTGAAAAACACACAGTGAGAATTTGAAATTACACACTGAGACTTTAAAATTACACACTGAGATTTATGCGCACTTTTTATGCGCACATATCTAATTAGCATACTAAATCTGAATCTATTACAAGCTTAAAACAACTAGGGGACAGAACTCGTTAGTCCTTCAATTTGGCGCCAAATGTTTTATAAAAAACATTAGAAATACAACGTATAGAAAAACTACGTTATTAAAGACCAATAGAACAAGAAAAATACCAATTTACTCTCATTACAAAATATAACCAAATGGTGAAAAACTTTATTAAAATTATAAGAAAACATTGGAACAATCTGCAAAAAGACAAACAATGCAGTGAAATTTTTAACCACCGTGCCTTTTATAGCATATAAACTTAACAAAAATATAAAAGATTACCTTGCGAAATCAGGGTAACAGTTGAAAGACTTTTGAAAAGGGACCCATGTTTAAACAGTTTTAGGCAAAAAATATATTATCAAAAGTAAACGTTTTAACCTTTGATGTTAATGCTTCATCATTTAATAGGAACCCAAGCATTTCACACTGTATACATTACAAAAATTCATGTTTATTTTTTTTATTTTTTCTTCTTCTCTTAATATTTTCCACCTTTTTCATATTCATATATTTATTACAGAGCATGCCAGTAATTATATTTATGTATTGTTCAATAAGTGTATTATTTTTGTAAAAGGAGACAGATTTGTAAAATCAAATTGCTTGTTTCTGAATCCTTAATATTTATTTCATTTGTATAATATGGTTTAATGTTGATTTATCTGAATAAATATTGTTTAAACTAAGCAAAAAATCCCGATACACTGTTAGCAACAAACTTATGAATATGTGACGATGTTAAGTCTTGAAATTTATTACGAATGGTGGTTGAAGGAATCGCATTTCACCATAAAAGAAGACCAAGATATTAATCTGTTGAATTATTCATCTCATGAATATTCATTAGTAATGTTCATATTAATCTCAGTATATCTTTTTTGAAATCTCAGTGTGTCTTTTTGAAATCTCAGTGTGTCTTTTTGAAATCTCAGTGTGTGATTAACAATTCTCTGTGTGTGTTTTTCAATTTGTTTCATCTCAGTGCGTCTTTTTAAAATCTCAGTGTGTAATTTTGAATTCTCAGTGTGTGTTTTTCATTTTGTTTAAATCTCATTGTGTAACTTTAAAATCTCAGTGTATTATTTTAGGTTTTTAAATCTCAGTGTGGTTTTTTTTAATTCTCAGTGTGTATTTTTTTCGAAAAAAGGGTTTAAACATAGTTTTGACGAGAACGGCTTGTCATAGACGAACAGTGTTATTGCAGTATGACTTTTGTATACCACACACTCCAAACTGAATAAATTTACCAGGGCGACAACAACTTGTTAAGCTAATATAAAAAAGAAGATGTGGTATGATTGCCAATGAGACAACTCTCCACAAGAGACCAAATGACACAGAAATTAACAGCTATAGGTCACCGTACGGCTTTCAACTATGAACAAAGCCCATACCGCATAGCCAGCTATAAAAAGGCCCCGAAATCACAAATGTAAAACAATTCAAACGAGAAAATTAACGGCCTAACTATTAAATGTACAAAAAAATGAAAGAAAAACAAATATGTAACACAGCAACAAACAACAACCCCTGAATTACAGGAACATACATACAGAATGTGGCGGGGTTGAAATCAGTTGAAAAAGGCTTAACTCATCAGATGGATACAAATAGAAATACATATAAAAAAAAGCACGTGGACGTGACCGGGTACTTGTACATCCCAACAACAAAAAGACACTAAATGTACAGATCTGAGAGTACTTGAAGTTACTGACAGCTAGATCAAAGCCAATAACAACAAACATAAAAAAAAACATGCATCTAAGACTAAATTATCAATCAGTACACATCCAACATCCAATGGATTTAGTTGAAAAACGTCATAAACAGTCAGAGAAAAACATGACCTTGTGTAATGCCAAGATACAGGAGTCGACAGATTGTAGATCCATGAATGAAAGTGCATATGTATATAACAATAATATTCAGTTTGCTTTTAATTTACTGATAACAAAATCAATATTAATACCAATAAAAACAACATTCAAAGATTTAATGACAGTGTTGAATTGGTAACCTTTTATAGAATAAGTTTATTTAAAGGATCGATAAGTTTACCAGGATCGTTTCTAAATTTCTGGGCACGGTAAACAACATCTCCGTAAAAATGAGGATGTGCTATCCCGTTTGAAATAAGTTTTCTACAGGTGCAACCGAACTTCAAAACCAAATCTTATTTGAATGAATAAACTCATAATGCATAACAACAATAACAAATGTCCTATACATAGTAATAAACATAGTAATAACACAAAAGCTAAGTAAAATATAACGAAATTTGTGGACGGATAATGTTATTGCAGTATACCACACTCATTACAATTAATGATATTTCATTAAACACCTGTACAGACAAGAGAAAACGTAAATGAACAAAACACTTAAAACTAAAGCTATTCGCGATTTAGCGAAATCTCATTGGAAAAACAACGGGTGATGTTCTGCTAAAGGCTGAAATCTTAAAATCATTTATCATAAAATTATTAATTATATCATTATGTTAGTTTAAGGCAATTCATAATTTGCAATAACTGTCAACTTACCATCGTCCATTATAGCTGTTGTAACATCTTTGCCTGTATACCCCATTGCCCATGCTATTTCTACATTTAAATCTAGCCCTGGTTTTCCTCCAGACTGACCAACATTTTTCTGAAATAAACCATATGAATATATATATATATATATATAAGTCTAAATTGAAAACAACGTTCAAACCCATGATTGCGTTGGATAAAAACCGCAATTTTTATACGTGTGCATGCAAAACAGTTTCTTGGTAGAGGGGTCTAAATACAGCACAAACAACATTTTCCAAAAGACCAAAAAAGTGAAAAAGTGTATTTAGACAAAAAGCATTTGACTAACAGGTCGAACAACGGATGTTCTTAAACCCTGCTGACTGCCATTGGCGATTTCCAAATAAACGGATCATAAGATGTGACAAAATGGATCTTTATTATTAATTTAATACCAAACAGAAAACAATAAACTTGCGAAAAAGATGGTATACCGCAAACATGAGGTGCAAAAAATTTGTACACCATACCCTGATTTCACAGCGGTATAACATGTTACTTTTATTATTCTTCCCTTAGTTTATTTATTATGTATTTACATTGTAGCATAGATCAAATTTATTTGTTCAGTGTATGTTCACTGGTGTTAATATGTCCTTTGATTGAGTTAAGCCATTTCAGTTGATATTTTATAGTGTGTCTTTCTATGTTGTGATGTTACACTATTGTTTCAGATAAGGGTGAAGGTTTGGTACCATTAAAACGTTTAAACCCGCTGCAATTGTTTGCACCTGTCCTAAGTCAGGAATCTGTTGTTCAGAAGTTGTCGTTTGTTGATGTGGTTCATAAGTGTTTTCGTTTCCCCTTTTTTTTTATAGATTAGACCGTTGGTTTTCCCGTTTGAATGGTTTTACACTAGTAATTTTTGTGGGCCCTTTATAGCTTGCTGTTCGGTGTGAGCCAAGGCTCCGTGTTGAAAACCGTACTTTGACCTATAATGGTTTACTTTTATAAATTTTGACTTGGATTGAGAGTTGTCTCATTGGCACTCATACCACATCTTCTTATGTCTATATAATCAGATACTTTTGAATTGTTTCATATTTCTTTTTACCGTGTGGCCTTTTATAGCTTACTTTACAGTGACCTGTAATTTTTGACATCCTTGTCTTAATGGATACTTGTCTCATTGGCAATCATACAACATCTCCTAATTTCTATACTGCAAGAAATTTTTTTTTTTTATATCATAAATATTTTAGGCTTTTTGTAACAAGGATCAATATTATGTCATACTAAGTAACTCAAATCGAATAAGAAGACGGAAATTAAATCAAAGTCTACAGAAAGGTTTTTACAAGATAATCAGTGACTTGTAAAATGCGGTAAACACTAAAGTCGAATGCTTATCAAGGCAACATGAAAAGAAAGAATTTGATTACTTGACGCTTGGAAGCCAAGAAACTTAATATTACAAGACATTGCTTCTACTATAAGTGTATATAATTGACATATGAAACAGTATTGATGATTTACTACAATTACCATACAACATCGGCCAATTTATTTCTATGGCTAAAAACCTTTAAGTTTCTTTAAAAGGTCTTGTGATATTTTATTTAGAAATGTTCTTCGATCAGCTTTTGCTATGACAGCACTTTTCTTTATGAAATAGTGTCCATTTGGATATTGGTATTTTAGGCTTAATACAGAAATTATGGTCGTTTTTCTTTTGTTTCTTCCATCCTTCATTTTTGCATTTTATGGAATATTACCTTTTTTTGGAATTTGTAATCATAAGTCATTATGTGGACAAAGTCCATTGATTTCTATCTACATAGATTGAATTACATATTATTCATTCCCTTTTGTGTCTTCTAATGAACCTTCATTGTTGCTTAGCACTGGATAAGATAATTGGTAATGGTGACCATCGCTTAGGGGGCCGATTTGATTGAATTTCTTTTATGAACTGTTAATAGAACGGTTTTATGGAGAGGAAGTTGCATTTTACTTTCTTGCCAAATGTCACTCCTAGATACGCAACCAGAAGGCCGTACATGACAAAGTGGCAGAATAAACACTGTATTTCATCTTTGCAGTGATAGCCTGCGCCAATCTTGTAAAGGGCAGGACAATTTAATTGCAATAATTTAATTCAATTTCAGGTTTGCAGTCGCTAAAGGGCCAACAATCAACATCGGATAAAATAATTGATAGTATCAGTAAACTGCAAAATGTTCTGTCAGCAAATCCATCGGCATATCTCACGTTACAGTAGAAAAGATGGGGGATACGTTACCTAACGGAGCTTTAAACGTAGGAGGACAATTTTTACAAGTGACTTAGGCTTGAACGTATATTCAAAATAGGCTCGACTAAAAAGAGTTGTTTTGGAAGCTCTCGTCTATCAATTAGTTGAATATTTTCGCGTGCATTCTTGAATTAATCAGGGATCGGTTCACATTTTTCATCGTCCATTACCACTAATATCAATAAAAGCAATAGGTACTAATGACAATTCGCGTGAACCGGAAAATATATTGCAACAATCTAACAGAAACTTTAAAGTAAAGTTACTATCTACGTCATAGTTCGCAAACATTCACATGCTACTCAATACTATTCATATCACAAAAACATTAGCATTAAATGCAGAAAGCAATTAATAATTCAATAAGCCTTGAGTGTGTATTCTAAAAACAAGCGTTTGGTGTCATTTTAAGTAGAAACTTTGTGACACGATGAAATACGACACGAAACGCCATCAACACACTTGACGTTATGGCTGCCAATTCAAAACATAATCTAATGTGTGAAAAATAATGTTTTAATGATATAAAACTAACACTGCACAGCAAGCTATAAAAGGCCTAAACATAACAAATGTAAAACAATTCAAAAAAGAAAACTGATTAATGTACAAAACAATTAACGAAAAACAAGAAGTATATAAAGCAACAAACGAAAACCACTAAATTGCAGGCACCTGACTTGGGACAAGAAAATGTCGTAGCCTTTTATAGCCGACTTTACTGTATGGGTTTTTCTCATTGTTGAAGGCCGTACTGTTGTCCTTAATTGCTTACATCCACATCATTTGAACTTTGTTGGATAGTTGTCTCATTGGCATTCATACCACATCTCCTTATTTTTCAACATATAGAATGTGGCAAGGTTAAACATGTTACCGCCCCCTAAACCAGGGTCAATGGTGCAACAGAACGCAAGAAACCAACTACAAATAATAAACAAATGATATGGGAGATGCCTCAAAATATATACTTATTTTCGTGGATACTTTATTTCGCGTTTAGCCCTGTCTAGCCCATTTCGCAGCGATTTAATTTCGCGATTTTCAAATTTGTTTGATGCAGTTAAATAAGGAAATATCCAAGTTTTACATATTCGCGACGATTTATATTCGCGTTATTTTTCTACTCGCGAAAGTCGCGAAAATAAATCGCTCGCAAAAATTAGTTGGTTTACAGTATTTCAGACTACATATTTTAAAAAATGTTAGGGTTCATATGCTTCTGGTCATTGCTTGTCTTATTTGTTTTAGAAGAAATAAATATCAAACAATTATATTAAGTTCAGCTAATAATAATTTTGGAAAAATTCCAATTTTTAGAGTAGGTTGAAAATAGGAATTTCGTTAAAAAAACCGAAAACATTTTGAATACAGGTTCAACAGCATCTGGGATATAACCTATTACAGCAGGTGAGTACATCTGGTCCAGGATTTGATGTTAGGGGGAGGGATGCGCTCCTGAGAGTTAGGAGTTAGAGGACCATATTTGACAAAAAAGTTACTGTAATTTTATCTATAAATTACATTTTTTTATCTTTTAGGGATGTCACAGCAAAAAACCCGGGACTTATAAAAGGGGATGACAATTTTTGATATTGGTAAATATTAAAAGTTAAAGTCACAAATGAAAAAAAATGAACATGTAAACCATATTTGCTTCTTTTAAAGTAGAAGGGGTTTGCTTCAAGTACGTTTAAGTAATATATTTTTATGGGGAAAATGTTACAGTATTGGAAGCCATCAACTACAAATAGCATCGAAATAAATAAAATAAAGACTGGAGAACTTTCCTCTCAGAAAAGGGGTTTGAATAAAAATCCGTTAAAATTTGCATATGCAATCAAACAGTAAAAAAGATGCAGTAGGCATTATTGAAATGGTATTCCAGTGCATCGTTTCATAATGGCCCATAGTATGCTACCAGTGTTTGGTCAAACCGGTTAATGATTCCTGTTTTCCGGTATCATTTATATAAGAAAAAACAATAATTCAAAACCCTTCAAAGCTTGTAATGATGTGTTAGGGATAAGGGACTCTTTGTTTTGAATTTTCCTTGGAGTTCGGTGTTTTTGTTATTTTTGTTATAATCACTTTGAAATTTTAGATATTTTTAAAGGAATAATTCTCGTTCTTATTTTGTATAATTTCTATGTCATTCTTTGCTTTTGTCGAGAACAATTTGACAGTCTAGATTTTTGTTTCCAATTTTAACTAAATTGTTTATCAATTTTTTATGACAGAGTGTGTTTATTGATTTTGTTTCTCTTTTCCTTTTAATTTGTTCTTTAAGTATTTAATCCTAGATAGAGTTTCAATTATATTGAAATCCGGCCTAGAGCTGCAATTATATTCAATCCGGCCTACGCATTTTAAATTTCATTTCCATTGAAGTTTATGAAATACAAAGTAATTATTTTCCAATTAATTCGAAAGTCTTCTTCGATTTTAACTCTCTTAGTAATGACAGTTAAACAGATTTACGCGTTGTTATGGTACTTTACAATCCATTGTTTTGTAACATTTTACAGATAATGTTTTCTTCTCTCTCAAATAAAAGAGTTAATAAACTGGTGATGGCGCAATTGCTTCGACTGCAAAACTTTTAATTCAACAGACACGACGATTATTCATTGGACTGGTATTTTATCATCAGATTGTTTGGTCACATGTAGGACAGAGTATCGCATTTATTAAAATAATTTTTTCTAACATACATATTTTTTGGTTAAATAATTTCGCTTTGCTTCAGTTCAAGTTGTAAGTGTTTTGCATATACTTGCTATATATGGTTGACTATATGCGTATATTTCTTTCTGAATGTTGACAATAAGCGACATTTATATATTAAATTCATCTATTCTTCATTTTATTCGATAAAGATTAAAAAAAATAATGTACAATACTCTACTAATTTCCGTCACAGGGTTTGTTAATTTCCGACACTGGCTTTGTTCTTCATGATGATTAGAAAGATGCAAAGAAACTGGCATTCATTTGAACACAAAATGTTCTTGGTTTTCGTCGTAACTCTTGTTGCCGTATGTCTATTCAGTGTCATTGAGGATGATAAATTGACCAAGAGAGCAGACTATAATCCGTTTATAGCACGGCTATGGAATCTTTTTCGACAATTTAAGTATGATCGATGTTTGTTATTACGTGATCTCACTAAAAATCATTTGTCAAGCATTTACAAAAGTCAACCGTGAAGAAAAATGCTTTGGCGTTGCTTGAGAAAAACAATTTTTTCCCTATCACATGGGAAATAAAAACCAGTAATTTTTATTGGTGTCTTAGGAAACTGACGTACGACGGAATAGCATTTGACATGAAACATTTATAAGAGTCATTGTTTGAGATGTTATGGTTGTAACTTAAACAACTTTAGATAGATCTGTACCAAATTGAATTGTTTGGGTGGCAGAATAGTCATGTTGCAAACGAAAATAAAATGCATGATAAAAGAGAGGCGAAAGATACCAAAGGGACATTCAAACTCGTAAGTCGAAAAAAAACTGACAATGTCATGGCAAAAAACAAACTGACAATGTCATGGCAAAAAACGAAAAGACAACGAAAAGACAAACAACGGTACACAAAAAAAAAACAACATAGAAAAACTAAAGAATGAACAACACGAACCCTACAAAAAACCTTGGGCGGTTTCAGGTGCTCCAGAAGGGTAAGCAAATCCTGCTCCACATGAGGTACCCACCGTGTTGCCCATGTAAGTACCAACCGGGTGATAATTCTAATTCAGTTCACATTCCAGGAAATGAGGACGGGATAAGAGGCATTATAGTGTCCCTGATATTTCAAAACTAGTGAAATTCTTCAATCCTTTCAAATTTTATTTAGTTTTCATGATAAAGAAAAAAAGCCGATAAAACCTGGACCCTTTAGTTTAGTTGTGGTGGTACTGTGACGTAATAAATATAATGAAATTTACATGTTTGAGCGAATAAAATATGATCCAAAGCCGTACACAAAAAGACATTTTACTGTAGGCAAATACTTCAGACAAAATTCAAAAATAAAATATTGATATCTAACAAACTGGTTACTCGTTGACATTTGTTAGATATTATTTTAGAGATTCATAACACTGTTTTATTTTAGAATTCAGAGAGACGACACTGTTGTCTTATCCTAAAGTCTCCTTTGATGATTAGAAATAAGATGTGGTATGAGCGCCAATGAGACAACTCTCCATCCAAGTCACAATGTATAAAAAGTAAACAATTAGAGGTCAAAGTACGGCCTTCAACACGGAGCCTTGGTTCACACCGAACAACTAGCTATTTAAAGGGTCCCAAAATGACTACTGTAAAACAATTCAAACAGGAAAAACAACGGTCTAATCTATATAAAAAAAAACGAGAAACGAGAAACACTTATGAACCACATCAACAAACGACAACCACTGAACAGGTTGATTAGTACGTTACAACAATACTACACAATCTTTTGTTTTTGTTTTGTTTTTTCCGTTCGAAATCTCCCTGTTTTCGATGCTGTTTTCAGCTGCTTTGGTGTCTTTTAATGTCTGACTCATACACATCCAACTTCAAATTATTTTCTTCCAATGACACATGATTACTGATTGTCATATTTTGTGGTGCTTGACTCAAAAGTGTCTGCCTAAAAAGCTCATTGAGAGTAGATTTTTTTATAATGAAGCAGTTTCGATGGTATCTTGGACATTTATTAATTTCTGATGGTAGTTATCGAGAATTTCGATCCTGTAAAGGTACTCCTGTGCCAAATAAAGATGCGCAAAGCATAAAGCAGCTGTCTCAAAGAAGAGTAATCCTACTCATAAAGTTAATTGTGTTCTTCATACACCTTTTAATTAAAAAAAAGGGACAAAGGTATTACATTATATAGCTAACTTACCAAATACCATTCTTTTTGAAATAAAGGATCCTGAGGTTCTGCATAGCTATAAGATTTTGAATAGTCCAATAATTTGGCTGACTCGGGGTCCTTTAAACGTATTTCGGATACAGGAACTCCTCGTATCTTAGGCTTAAATCCTCGTTTTGCTCGTCTAAATCCAGTTTGCTGTATAGCTCTTTTTACCTTTAAAGAGAAAAGGTATATCAATACAATACAATTATCTTATTTACAAGTACAAACATTGTGTTTGTGCTCGAAGAGTCTTATGTGTTTAATCTGTTTGTCTTCTACAAAGGACTGTCATGTTTTTGTATAAAAGATGGACTTCATATAAAAACATGAATTATGAAAGCGACAATTACATATAAATCGGGGTCGTTTTTACAGTCACGGAAATAGTTTTAACTTTTTAAGAATCTGATTTCCTTGACATAAACCATACACGGAGTCTTTTGGAAGATTTGGAAAAATGAACCGTCTATAGATCACACGACTAGTTACAAAGAGTTATATAAGCTGTATATATATAGTTAAAGCATTTTGTGCTTTTAGTGGATATGAGACATGATTTAAAAGTTTTATTTCACACAATGGACAATGACACGCGTAATTACATAGCAGCTCTACTATAAAACAAGTGTGATATAGATTAACAGGAATGACGTACAAAAGTTTGTACTTTATGCTATACATCAAACAGCAACATGGAATTGTTTCATTTGACGACAAGATTTATGTGTTTTTCAACAAGGATCGGGTTTGATTAAGACTGACAAAACATTTATTTCCAACAATCATTCCATCCTCACAAATCTTACCAAACAGTTATAAGCTATCCGTTTCATCTATCATTCATAACAATTTTGAAATGAAAAACGACATTCGATTATTTGCATTGTACATTTACGTATTTAGCTAATTGTAAATAAGAAAAAGTCATCTATTGGACGTCATTGTGATAGCACAGACGTAAACAGTTATTATGTGGTAATATATTTATAAATGAGATAAATAATAACGAACGTCCTTTGTACATCAGATCACAACATCTAATTTGTCTGTTTATCAGATATATAGAAATCCTACACATGATAAAAAAGAAAGGATACAAGATTAATATCCAATTATATATAGATATATTGAATGTGATAGGCTAGCCAATGACTTCACAAAACAGTAAAGTAAAACACCGCGATCTAAAATACTGTTGAAAGTACATCATTTGATAACGATCAATATTGTTCTCGCGGTACAAGTAAAAGGTCGGAAACAACAAAATATTTGAAAAAACAAATTTACAAAACATTTGATTCAATTGCATTATGTGTTCCTCTTTTTTTCTTTTTTTTTGAATCGCGTTAGAATAAGAACGCATAGAATATATATGTGGAAATTGGTTATGCATTCTGAAATTTATGCAAAATATACTAAAATATATTAAAATTCTTCAGAAATATTTGCAACCGTAGATTTTGTGTAATATACTGTTTTTATTTATGTTTTCTGTTTTGAAAATACCAAAAATACCTCAATTATTTTTAATTGGACAAATTAAACATGTAGAATTGAGGAGAGTACCTGTACGTTTTAACAAGACAATATCTAGGTTTCTGAAGACATAAAACCATTTTCATGAACGAGTAAAATAAAAAAATATTAATTAGAAAAAACATATGAGGTTATAATTTGACAGCAACCTATTAACACAAGGTAATAAAAAATTAAAAAAAAATAATTTGAGGTCCCGGTCAACATATGATATTCACACTCGTTTGGCAAATAGTAAATTGATTTACTCTCAAAGCTTTCATAATACTGTAGTGCCAATGAAATTGTCCAAAAGAAAAATATGATACATAAAAACCATTTGAATATAAAAATATACTTACCATGGGATGTGCTTTAAGTTTACGTGTGTGAATTATACTTCTGCGGCTTCGTATATGTGGTACGGCTGCGTGTGTAAAGTGGAACTCTCTTTGAGAACCCAGCAACTAAAAAGGAAAAGAGAATATGTTACATTATTAGAAACAACTTGTCTGAAAAAACAATAAAATTTCAAATAAAAATAAAAATGAAAGAATCTGCATATGTAGCTGGCGAATAACTTTATTAGTATTCAAATAACAAGCGTTTTACATAAATGTTCCATTCGGTGGTGTTTGTTACGCTAAATTTTTATACTTCTGTGTAACGTGTGGTGGACTGTTGTTTTTCGTATAATTTCTTTTGCATATTTTGTTGTCCTGTCTTCTTCGACTTATAATTGTCATTGCCTTTTTTATATTTTTAAACATAATTTTGTAAGGTCTAGATCTTTTATTTGTAAAATAACGAGAGTGAACTTTTCTCTGACATAGATTAAGAATGGACTGTATAGAAATAGTGATAAGCAAAACATTTCGTCATGATAAAAATAAGGAGATTTGATATGATTGCCAATTAGACTACTATCCACCAGAGACCATATGATGAGGATGTAAACCACTAAACGGTACTGTACTACCTTCAACAATGAGTAGTCAGGGTAGGTGACAAGGAGCAATTGCTACCCCTTCAAGAAGTAGGACAGGGGGAAATTATGTGTATGCCTAATTCAAATTATTACATCTATTTTCTTAATGGTTGCTGTTAAAGCTTACAATAAAGCTTATAAAATGCATGAAAATGTCTGTTCAAAATAAGAATCGAAGAATGGCATTTTGATATTTTATTCAATAAACAGTTCACGTTATTTGGCCTGATACATATAAAATTCTGAACTCATTAACGCAAAAATTCGTATTTACGTATATTACTTTGTTATCAAAGCCATTTTCAGATATCTCCGGAGGCTTGTAGATAGATTATATTTGATCTTAGAAATTATGGCAATAGTTAACTTGTTTACTGCTTATTTTTAAATGGCATTCTTATTACTATGGTGTCAATGTTTATCAATATTTAGTAGAAATAGTCGACGTTTGTATGCGTATCATTTCCAAGTGGCAGGAACCTCTTCAATCTTTTGCCATTTGAATAAGATAATCGTAAATGTCTAATACAGATTTATCCTACCATAAAGCCTTACAGAGATTTATGAATAAAAATTGCCCTAAAGAAAATAACCAAGCATACTTAAAATCATCGGAGCTAACTAAAAACATTGATTCTAATACTCGGGTTTGTTTTCAGTAGGGAAATTGTCGTCAATCTACGGCTTTATTTTCCTTTTCTTAATTGAGTTATGTGATTGATAGTGTTTAACATCGACCAGTAGATATTCTTAATGTCTTCGAAACATCTCTTAAGATTTTCAAGTATTGAAAAGAAAAGAAAAATCAATAAAGTAATAAAATCTGGAGGGTTACAAGAATTATTGCATCGATACACGAATCCATAAAAAAAAATGTGTAATATTGCAAAATGCAAGATTTTTATCTTCCGAATGGATCAAATTTGGAGGAGATAAATCTTATATAATATTTTAAGTTGATAACGGGGCTCGCTTAAGCGAAATTAGAATATCAAATATTATCAACAATCGAGTTTTTAACATTGAATATGCATCTTTTGTTATTGATGAGATAATTTCGCAAATCAAGATCAACTATATTCTAGATTTTTTTTACTATACTTCAAAGTTGATCTCAACTGATCCATGAAGGTGTATATAGCTCCTTGGTTAATCATTGGCAAAGTTACGCATGCGCATTAGCGAAAATTTGTCGTTGCACTGGATTGTACGTAATTGCATTTGTTTATACCAAATTAACTTTAAGCCTCTAGTTTGATATCCATTGCCTATCACGACCTTTTCGAAAATACATTTTTTTTTTATTTTTACCCAGAATGATAAATTTCTAAAATAGTTTAATTTTCCCTCTGTCTTTTATCTTTAGTTCTGGTGTAGTTCATTGTAAAAATGTAATCAAAACTTGCTATACATTATGCGCTGGTTGCTATCTTTTTCCCAATGGATTTTTAAATATTTTGATTATTTCCTTACAACACCGTTGGTCTGATATCTTGCTTCTTTGTTCTCATCAACAAGGTTTCTCAACTTGTCATTGTAATCCCATCTGTTCAGATCGTGTTCCAATATTTGCAATGTAAATTGATACAATAATTTCGAATTTGCTCGCGATTCCAGGAAATAGAAGGTCTTCCTGTATTTTTTCCATCACAACAGGAAACGTTTAACCTCCAAGGCCACAATTGTATGCAAACTTCAGCGATAAACTGATAAATTAAGGCAAAATGAAAGCCAGACGTAGTAAAGATCCCGAACGTTAATTTGGCGTATTTATAAAGATTCTCAAACAATATCATATGTCTGCTTTTTAAGTTCGATTATTTTACGGTGTTATATAATTCAATTTTTATTGAGGTAGTATAAAAGTAAGATGTGGTATGATTGCCAAGGAGACTACTCTCCACCAGAGACCAAATGACGTAGAAGTAAGCAACTGTGTTCTGTCAGTTAAGTTTTGACCTCAAAACTTGGTATCAAAGTGTGAAATACTAGTAAACATTTTCCTTTAATGTATTTTATTTTGTAGTGTATATTCTGTGTGTTCAAACTAAATCCATGAAATCAGATGCTACGCTAGGGAAACAAACTTTCTTTGACTCGTTTAAAAGGTAATAAAGTTATATGCCGACAAAAGTCTCCTTTAAAAGGTTGAGGAATATGATCTGACTAGGGATATACTTTCCTATATTAGCAGCTGCCAACAAGATTATATTTTGAATAGTCCGTGGTTTACCTTGTCTGCTTTTAGTCATTAATATAAAACACAGTGACTGACAATTGTCAGGATTGATTATAAAGTAATGTAAGAATGATTACAAAATAATGTAAGAATAAATGTATCGTGTAAACATGTTAAGAAAAAATTTCATCAATGAATAAATCTTACAAATGCTTTTTCACGTTTTGGGACATCTTAATTAAAATCGTGAATTGCAATAATTTCAGGTGTTTTTTTTTTAGGAATCAGCATACATGCAAATTAAAACATAACTAAATTTGTTTTCTCGTCAAACGGGATGTATAAAGACACACCCACGTTCATTTTGATCTATAAAGAGGTTAACTCCTAACTATCCTACTACCTGTCGATACATTTATTTTTGGCATTGCACAAGTCATGTCTTCTTCGACTGTCCATGGCGTTAAAATACTAAATCCCTGGGATGTGTTTTAGTTGATTTTAGTCTCTGGTGCATGATTTTTTATTATTAATTGTTTTTGGCTTTTAACTAGCTGTCAGTAACTTCGAGTACTCTCAAATCGTACTTTCTTGTTTATTTGACCTGTTGATACTAATTGTAATGCTTTTTTGTTATTTAATGTTATTCAGGGTTATATCTGGTCTATATACCAGCTTTGATAAGTGTTTGGTATTACTATAAATTTTCACTTCTTCGTACTATGAACATCAAAATTATTTATTTTGTATAAATATTTCCTTTCTCTATTGGAACTGTACACGTATACCTAACAACAAAATTATTTTCATTTACCTGTGTTTAAAGGAATTGCAAATGGCTGATATTTTTTGTTCTAGCATATTGTTTTTCTTAAATTGTTTAACATTTCACAGCGGTATAACATGTGACTTTAATTATTCTTCCCTCAATTTATTTATTTTGTATTTATATTGTATCATAGATCAAATTTATTTGTTCAGTATATGTTCACTGGTGTTAAAATGTCTTTTGATTGAGTTAAGCCATTTCAATTGATATTTTATAGTGTGTCTTTCTATGTTGTGATGTTACACTATTGTTTCAGATAAGGGTGAATGTTTGGTACCATTAAAACGTTTAAACCCGCTGTAATTGTTTGCACCTGTCCTAAGTCAGGAATCTGATGTTCAGTAGTTGTCGTTTGTTGATGTGGTTCATAAGTTTTTCTCGTTTCTCGTTTTTTATATAGAATAGACCGTTGGTTTTCCCGTTTGAATGGTTTTTCACTAGTAATTTTGGGGGCTCTTTGTAGCTTGCTGTTCGGTTTGAGCCAAGACTCCGTGTTGAAGACCGTACTTTGACCTATAATGGTTTACTTTTATAAATTTTGACTTGGATGGAGAGTTGTCTCATTGGCACTCATACCACATCTTATATCTATTGTTAGACTGTTTTTATTTATTGACTCCTAACATGATTTAGTTAAATGTGTTTACCCAAGCCATATATATACATATATATATTCGCAACAACTGGCAAAAACAAAAATTCTGACATTCATTTGAAATTGTAACAAGGACACGTGGCGCCAGTCATGAAGGTAGTTATCTGGATATTAACCTAGCCTTCAACTTTTCCTTTTAAGGTTTTGATAATATCAAATCATATAAAGAAAGAAACGCGCCGTCTGATTGTTCCGTAACAGAAAGTTACATTTACATATCGTCTGCTATGTTAGTAACAACAGATCATCGAAGGTTTGTTTTCTTGTCGCATGTAGGAAATTAGTTTATTCAGTGATGGCTACATTTACTTTTTCACAGTTCCACAGGAAATTAGAAGGAATATTTAACTACGATATCATCACTACAATCGATTTTCACTTTTCAAAAAGCAATTTGTTAAACGATTTTAGTTTAGTGTTAAGTGCTGATTTCAATTTTTGTTAGGAAATATAAAAAGACAAACTAGCAATTTTGTAAATAAATCGGGAAAATCATTTTTAAACTTCGACATTACTAATATAGCCTTTCATTTAAGGATAGTGTGGGTTATTAACATACTATGCAGGTTGACTAAAGTTTTTGAATAGAGTTGTTGCACACTGAACAAGATCTTGTGGATATCATTAAATAACTGGAGAATAGCAACGCATGGTAAACAGATCTGAAAGGTTTACACTGTGAACATGAATTTAGTTTTTTAACTGTCTAAATTTAAAATGGGCCTGTTCAATGTTTTCCATTTGTTTATACCTTAGAACCATTCAAGAGAATCGCTTATATCATAGAATCAAATAAACTATATGAATAATTAGTCC